AACGGATTAAAAACTGTGGTACATACATACAATGGAGTACTACACATCCCTAAAAAGCAGTGATGAACGCATAAAGCACATCGCCGCATGGGAATAACTGGAAGAAATTGTGCCAAGCGAATAAGCCAAGCACAAAAGGACAAGGACAAATCAACATGAGTCCGATAAGCTTGAAAATGCAAAAGGGAAAAGGCTACTGTATACATATATTCCTGGGGTGAGGTCCAGGTAGTGTGGCAGGTCAGACCCAATCCAGGTCTACATATGGTAGCCAACTAAAAATGAGGGGAAAAGAAAAAAAAAGACATGGGTAGCGGGGAACAGGACACTAAGCCACCAAAGGGAAGGGTGTTGTTTATATGTCCACAGGAGAGGGAGAGAGGGACCAGACTTCAAGCCAGTGGGCCAAGACATGAATGCCACACACGGGCATGAAGCAGGGAACCAATAGAGAGGTCTGCGGAGCCGGTCCCAATCTCAACTATGTGGACACCTCCCCTCCCCGCAGAAGAATTCACTTCAGAGGACAGCACTGAAGACACAGATCAGGGAGAGGGGCGCATCTGATCATAGCTCACAGGAGCAAATGAAATGGGAAAGAGAAAGGGTGGAGCACATCCTGGCCCACCAAACCCCCAGGATAACATTCCTGCTCAGAGAAGCCAATGCAGAGAGGACCATAGGGCCACCCCCACCATGAGACACAATGTCCCTCACTGACCCATAGCACTTCGAGGGACAACACTGGAGGCACAGTTTAGGAATTGTGGCTGAAATGATCCCACTACTCCAGAACGTAACACTTAAGATATGCAACAGAGCAGTGAGGGGTGCAACGCAAGGAAGTGCCCAAGGAATACCAAAAATAGACTTTGGGGCCAGGGTGTGGCACCCTATCAGGCAAAATGGGTGCATAAGCAAATGTGGTGAAGAAAGCTGATGGTTCCCAGCTACCAAAGGATATAGCATCTGGGGTCTTAAAACTTGAAGAAAAACAAGCGACCATCTAGCTGAGAAGCAACAAAGTCCACATGGAAGAAGCACACCAGCCTGTGTGATCATGAGATGTCG